TGTGTCTCTGGCAGAATCCTGGGTGCCCTTGACCTCTCTCTCTCTCTGTCTCTGCCTGTCTGTTCACACCCTGACCGTCTGTCTCCATTCTTGCCCCTGGAATCCCTTTTGCTCTTGACTTGGGTTGTGTCCTAGGTTTGAAGCCATCTCTCTCCTCCATCAAACCCCTCTTCCATCTCTGCTGCCAGCCTGTTTACTTTTTTTTTTTTTTTTGCAGCAAGCTTTTCTGGAGAAAGTGTTTTATTAGACATGCTTTGGCTCAGAAAGGCTCAGGCTGAGGGGGAAGTACTCGTGGGTGATGGAGTGAGAGCACACGCAGAGAGTGTGTGTGTGTATGTGTGTGTGTGTGTGTGTTGAGATGAGGAAAGCTGATAAATATTTTAGGATTTTGAAAGCCAGGAGGACTGGCCTGAGTGCGGGGGCTGGGACAGGGCCTCCCACTCCACTGCCTTCATCCTGGAAGCCCGTCTGTTTTGGCTTTGCTCACTGTCTCTGTGCTGCTGGTCTCACCATGTCTTCTTCCAGCTGCTGTCTCTGGCGGAGGGACGTGGGAAGAGCTGTGGGGTGGGGCCCAGGTCTGGCTGGGTCTCAGGTGGGGTGCGCAGCCCTGAGCCTGGGCGGGTGTGGAAGAGGCTGCCTCGTTGCCCAGTTGCTGTGCGGAGAATGAGGCAGTCAAGGTCTTGCCTCCCAGAGCCTCCAGAACCTTTGCTATGAGAGGAGGGCAAGCAACCCTGCCCTCTGCCCCAGGTGGCCACCCCTGGTGGCACCCCCTCCTCTTGCCCTGGCTCCTGTTTTTCCTCTTCTTTCCTCCAAAGTCTACACACTCACATGTACATGTACATTTGTACACACATGCACTCATGTGCACACATGTCTGTTCTTTACCCACCCCTCCAGGGCCCAGGGTCAGCCTTTGTGCCAGGGTGCTGTGAGGTGGGCCCAGTTCCTGCCTGATGCCCCCAGGGGCTGGGGTGGGGGCTGGAGGGGGGCCTGCTATACTTTTCCTGAGGGGCTGGAATTTAGCCTTTGCCTAAAGCAGGTCTAGGAGGGTTGGGAAACCTGCTGGGGCCTCAGGCAGGTGAGGGCAACACTGCTCTGCTCCAAAAATACTCTGTGATCTTAGCTCTTTCTCTAGAAAACAGTGATGTCACCAGTAGCCAATCAGCTTCCAGAAGGGTTGCCTCCTCCTTCTTCCGCAATTTGCGGGAGGAGGAGAGGGAGCTGGAGCGGGAGGGAGAGAAGGAGAGGCCGACAGAGACACGGACCTGGAGAGGCAGACCACACAAGCACACAGGGGCCAGGCAGCAGAAAAGCAAAACCCCTTCCCCAGCATAGGCGAACGGAACCCCACATGTACCCCCCGCCCCCAACACACACGCTGATAGAGTCATACAAAGGAGAGCAGGTAGAGAGCATCACCCATGTGGGTGGGAGCTAGAGAGAGACAGAGACACAGAAAGACAGACATGGAGGAGGAGCCAGAGAGAGATGGACACAGGAGAGACCCTGGAGAGAGAGAGACAGAACCAAACAGAAAGACACACAGAAAGAGCCAGATACACAGAGACACAAAGAAGAGCCAGACAAAGGCGCCTGGCAGGAGCCCACAGGGGTCAGAGGAGTGCTCAGAGTCAGGCCAGAGCCTCAGTGGAGCAGCCGCTGTCCGTGGTGCTGCCTGGAGGGGCCCAGCCGGCCCTGGAGGGGAGGGGCGGGCTCTGGTGGGTTGTGTGAGTGCTGGGAGGGAAGGCAGGGGAGGGGCCTCCCAGCAGGCTTTCACTGGGAAGGAGGGTGGACAAGGTGACTTTGGTGTGGCAGCCCAGTCAGGCTGGAGGTGGGGCCGCAGGCTTGGGGCGGAGCTTGGGTTAACCTGTTCTCTCTGGGGCCGGGCCTGGGGCTGGGGCTGGGGGGTGTGGGCCTCTGCTAGCCTCACCTCCCATCTCTTCCAGTCCCATTCTGGAGGATGTCTGTGTCTTATCCAGCCACGTGCTTTGTCCCCTGCCAGGTAGGGGTGGTCCCCTTAGCTGGCTGAGGTTAGTGGCCCCAGGGTCCTCCAGGGTCCCCCCCCTCCCCTGTCCTCAGCATCCTGCGGTCCGAATGGTGATATCTGGGGCTTCTCCCATCTGATAGACTTGGGGCTTGGACACTGGAGGGCTGGAGGCCCCTCCCTCTCCCTCCTCTGCAGACGCAGCGGGCAGAGGGAGGAGGGGCAGAGAGGCCAGCTCAGGCCGGTGGGGTTTTCCCTCTGGCGATGCCAGAGCAGCCTCTGCTCAGCTTGTTGGGGATTCCCCGCTCCTGTGTGGAATGCTCTTGTTTGGTGCTGTGAACATCAGGCTGAGCTGGGGGTGGGGCGTGGGAGGACGCCGGCTCCGAGTCTCCCCGCTGTGCTCTGGCAGGAAGCATCCTGGTGCAAGAAGAGATCCCCGTTCACCCCTGGCTGCAGTGCCTGCCCGGACCTTGGTGTCCACAGAGGGGCTCAGGCTCCTCCACCTTCCCAGTGGCCACCCTCCTCGGAGCTGGTAGGAGTGTCACTGGGAAAAGGCATGGTCGGGCTGCGCTCTTCAGGGCTGGGAGGGCAGAGGTGGTCTCTGGGACAGCCAGGCAGGATCTCCTGGCCCCTCCTTTCTTGCGTCCCAATGTGGCTGTCCCGCTAGGTGCCCACGGCCTGCGAGAGGAGCCCGAGTTCGTGACCGCGAGGGCTGGCGAGGCCGTGGTCCTGCGATGCGACGTGGTCCACCCGGTGACGGGGCAGCCCCCGCCCTATGTCGTGGAGTGGTTCAAGTTCGGGGTGCCCATCCCCATCTTCATCAAGTTCGGCTACTACCCGCCTCACGTGGACCCTGAATATGCAGGTGAGGGCTGCCCCATTGCCCTGGCTTCCCACCTGGCTCTAGGGGGCCCCCCCTCCCTGTCCCTCCCTCCTGTGTCTCGTAACCTCTCGTCCTTTCCGATGGGCCTCTTATCTCTGTTTTCCAGTCACTGCCTCTGTCCTCCCATCCTTTGCACTCTGGTAGGTTTTAATTAAGTGGAGAGAGGAGAGGGACAAGGAGGTGGGGCGGACACAGAGCTTCCTGAACAGCCTCACCAATCCGCAGGGGCCCCTGTGGATCCGGAGGTCGAGGTCGGAGGAGAAGGGAGGCCCAGAGCCCGCCGCGTGGGAGAGGAGGCCGGCTGGAGGGCGGCGCAGTAGAAGCCGCTGAGTCAGAGCCTCGGCAGGCAGCCACGGGGTTTGCTCTGTCTGGCTTCGCCCACTCCCTCCCTCTGGCTCTGAAGTTGGGGCCTCGTCCCGGGTGGAGGGAGCGTCTGGGCACCCCCTCAGCCTCCTCCTCCTGGCCCCCTGTGCCTTTCTCTGCAATGATTTCTGCCCGCGGAGGCCTCACTGAGTCACTGCCAGGGCCTGCCCCCCAGGGAGGAGGGCATGGGGCAGTGTGAGTGTGTGCACGGGTGCGTGTGTGTGTGTGTGTGTGGGTGTGCGCGCGCGCTGGGGTTTAAAGGAAGAGAGGAAGCTGGCAGGACATGGGTTTTATCTTTACCTCTGGGCTCTGAGGTCTGCCTTGCGTTTTTGTCAGCTTCTATTTCTTTCTCTCTCTCTGCCCCCTCCCTCCTCTTGTGTCTGTGTCTCTCCGGCCCTGGTTGGTTGGGACTGTCTGGTTTGTAGGCAGATTGCCAGTGTCCAAAACACAAGGAGGAATGCAGAGGAGGTCGTGACACTGGGGCGAGGGGTGGGCCGGGCGGAGGGAGGACCCAGAGGGCACTCTGGGGAAGGGGTCTGAGTTAGGGAGGGTGGCTCAGAATGGATCAGTGCTCTGCCTGCCAGCCACTCTGCATTCTCAGGCTACGCGCAACCCCCACTCCAGCCAAGCTCAGGGCCTGGGCTCTGTCTGGACCAGTGCTCTCTGCTCTCTGGCCCCAGCAGCAGGACTGGGAGGGGATGTCAGCACCCTGTCCCTGCTGGCCTCTCCCCTGGCTGCTGTAGGGAAGCCACACAGACAGGGTGCTGGGCGTGGCAGCCACGGGGACCCCTGGGACAGGATGTCGCTCAGCCTGGCCAGAGGTCCCCAGGCCCACTCATCCTCTCCTATCCCACCTCACCAGAGCTCCTTCCTCTCCTCCGCCTCTAGAGAATGGGACAGTGCAGGGGACTGAAGCCTTCTCAGTGCAGCTGGTGGGCAGAGAAAGTGGGGCTTTTGGGGCTGGCCTGGCCTGGGCCTGCCTGCCCTGGGCTGGGGTCAAGTGGGGCTGTCCCTGTGGGGCTGGGGCTGCAGGGGGCAGCGCCTTTCCCTAACCCTCTTAGTCCCTCTCCACAGGCCGTGCGAGCCTCCACGACAAGGCGTCCCTGCGGCTGGAGCAGGTGCGTGCCGAGGACCAGGGCTGGTATGAGTGCAAGGTGCTCCTGCTCGACCAGCAGTACGACACCTTCCACAACGGCAGCTGGGTGCATCTCACCATCCACGGTGCGTGGTGTGCGGGACGTGTGCCTGCATGCGAGCGTGTTTGGTGTGTGTCCTGCATGTGCATGAGCCTCCTCTCCACGCCCCTGGGACTCAGCCCCTGACCGTAGCCTGCCCTGGAGACCCTGGTGCAGCTGTGCCCCAAGTTCCTCAGCCTTCCTGGAGACCCTGGTCTGGCCCGCTGGTCAGATACCAGCTGCACCCTGGCCCCTTGGTTGTCCTGGAGTCCCAGAGGCCGGGCAGCTCCTGGCAGAGGGCGGTCACCATGAGTGGGGGTGGGAACTGGGTTCTGGAATCCCGGAGGGTTGAGCATCTGCAGGAAGATCCTCTTCAGGGATCCCCTGTTAGAGCCTTCCTTTAGTCCATTTGCCTGAGTAACCGTTGAGCGCCAGCCAGCCATTGAGCTGCAATTGATGGGCAGCAGCAGGGCAAACGCAGGGCTGGGTGGCGATCCTGCTGGTCCCGGCCTGGAGGGTAACCCTTCCGATGCCAGTGGGTACTTACTTCCTGGGGTGAAGGGTGACGGGTCTCTCATGGGGCCAGGGTCTTTCCCAGAACTGAGGGTCCCCTGTGCCCCTGGGAGCCCTCCCTTGAGAGGAGAAATTCCCAAGGAGCTGGGGACACTGGAACCCAGAGAAGGTGGAAGAAGAAGTGATCCCCACGGTGGAGGGGAGCAGGGTTTTTGCTTTGCTTTATTTTACTCTTGATTCAGTTTGTGACATGGTGTGTTCAGCTGCCACGTGCCGTGCATCCTGAGCTGGTTGTCGAGGCTTCAACGGCACTTGTGCTTTGGATGCCCAGGCACAGCTTAGGTCCATGTGGCCGTGACGCCTGTGACCCTGAATGCCACGGTCAGGAGAGAGGAACCGGCAGTGTCCTGGCTTGTGAGCTTCTCCCGGTTTCCACAGGCCTTATCTCATGAGGTTGGGTCAGGTCGTGCACCTTCTGCCCTGAAAACCCATCGCGGGCCCTGGGAAAACTGTGTGTTAACCCGAGACTGGCCCCTGGGACCAAGCGGACCTAGGAGTGGTGGCCTTGGGGCAGTGGTCCAGGCTGCTGACCCACTGCACGCAGCCGACTCCTGGCGTCAGTCCCCAGAGACCCGCGGTGGGCTGATTTTAAACCTTGGGTGAGCTGTCCCCACTACCGGTGAGCTTTGGAGTCCACTTCCTTTCAATGCCAGCTGTTGTGTGTGCCGGGAATGAAAACTCAGCTTAATATTAGTCCAAGCAAAATGTAATTAGGAAGGTAAACCTACTGCGGATGGCACCACTGATGGAGCGCTGAGCCAAGAGCCCCCACGCTGCCTGCTTTCTTGTGCCGTCTCCCAAGGTGGGCTGATGCCGTCACAGCCCTGCCTGCCTGCCGCACAGCACCGCTGGGTCCTGTCCAGGGAGTGGAGGCGGGTGGACCAGCAGGGAACAACGGCCCGACGAGACTCGGCTTGTGTCGTGAGTCCACCTCGTTCGCTGTCTGAGCCACGGCGCCCGCCTCCCCTCTCTGAGCTTCACTGTTCTGTTTCCAAGAACCGTGCCTGTGTGCAGGGCTGTAGTGAAGATTAAACAAAGGGCTGTGGATGAAGACGCCTGATGCCGCATTTGGAACGTCGGCTGTGCGGGGGTCACTCTGTGTGGGATACTGGCCACCCTCCCCCTCAAGGGAGAGAAAGACCAAGTCGGGCAGCCCAGGAGGGGCCTCGGGCTGGCAGAGGCAGCCTGGGTGGTTGAAGAGCCCTTGGGAATCGACCCATGATCAACATGCGTTCTTGAATGTCCACTCGGCAGGCTCTGGGTATGCAGACTGAGGTCTGAAGGATCGTCAGGGGACAGTCAGCTCCACAGGCAACTACAGTACAGCTTTGGGAGCACGAGGGACAGGGACTTCTCTGAGGAAATGAGCCCTGGGCAGAGACCCTTTGGGGCAGAGGAGCTGGCCAGGTGAAGGGGGTCAGGGGGTCAGGCCGGCAGGGTGTTCCAGGGCAGAGGAAACAGTATGCCCGGAGGCCCAGAAGAAGCAGAGCCACCACATTCAGGAGCCTGGCTGGTTGTTGGAATGAAGGGTCAGGCTTCAGCACCGGAGCTCAGCTCATCGTGGAATGCTTTCCCTACCAGGCCACCCCTCCCAAGGTGAGCGACCTCACCCTCTCTTCTTGCCTCCCTTCTCCTGCATTCCGAGGTTTCTTCTAGAGTAAATACTTCCCTTATTGAAGGAAAGAGTCTGGAGCACAAACATTGCATTTCTTCCAAACTAGAATGTTTCTTGTCAGGCGTTTCTGACCGGGATCACCCTTGGAAAATGAAAAATTAGAATCACAAGTTGTCTCCTTCTCCTTTTGTGTTTTCTTCAAGACCAGTTGGGAGGAAGCAAATCCAATTATTTCCTCATTGCATATGAAATACTAGAAAAGCCCAAGTCAGGCCTCGCTTTCTGTTGGTGAACTGCTTGGAGGAGAGGCCAGCCTGTTTCTAACCTGCATGATTAATTATAGGGCATGTGTAAAAAAAGAAGAATTAAGCTGGAAATGCAGCTGGCAGGCTCACACCTAATCCGGTAAATAATCGGGAGTCAAACCATTATTTTCCTGAAAACTTGAAATTGTTCAAAGTGCTTTCCTGATTAGCACCTAAATAATAAAGTAATTATGTAATTAGTAATTAATTTGTCACTTCAGGAAATAATTTACCGTATTATCTTTTCCTTAAGTGTGACACAGAGGTAATAGAGGCCGAGGCTGTGTGAGCTGTAGTTCAAGAGCAGGCTTGGCAGGAGGACTCTGCTAGGATGGGCTCACAGGCCAGGCTAGGAGGCAGTCTGGGGCTCGGAAGCCAGGTTCCCTTTGCAAGGGCTTAGAATGTGTTTTGGGGCTTCCCTTGTGGCTCAGATGCTAAAGAATCTGCCTGCGGTGCAGGATACCCAGCTTCGTTTCCTGGGTCGGGAAGATCCCCTGAAGAAGGGAATGACTATCCACTCCATCATTCTTGTGAAGAATTCCATGGACAGAGGAGCCTGGTAGGCTATAGTCCGTGGGGTCACAAAGAGTCGAACATGACTGTGCAACTAACACAGAATGTGTTTTACCGTCACGTTTGGTGTGTTGAATGTCAGGGTAGGATTGACTTTCTCAAAGATGTTTGTTGTGCGTGATGAAGAGCGCTTCCCTGGTCACCTAGCCTTCACTCGTGGCCACCTTGGTGGCCACACCGAGCGGAGCATTGGGGAGATTGTGGAAGAAGGTTGTCTCACCGTCGTCTTGTCTTCAGTTTTATATTTGCATTTGTGTTGGTGTGTGTGTGCGTGTGCACGTGCGCTTGCAGGCATGCACCTATTTCACTACATTTGTCTGTTCATTCAGCCGTTTGTTGAGACTCTGTTTCCTGCCAGTTCAGTTCTGGTCAGTCGCTCAGTCATGTCCGATTCTTTGTGACCCCATGGATTGCAGCACGCCAGGCCTCCCTGTCCATCACCAATTCCCGGAGCTTGCTCATGTCCATCAAGTCGGTGATGCCATCAAACCATCTTATCCTCTGTCATCCCCTTCTCCTCCTGCCTTCAGTATTTCCCAGTATCAGGGTCTTTTCCAATGAGTCAGTTCTTCACATCAGGAGGCCAAAGTATTGGAGCTTCAGCTTCAACATCAGTCCTTCCAATGAATATTCAGAAATGATTTCCCTTAGGATGGACTGGTTGGATCTCCTTGCAGTCCAAGGGATTCTCAAAGAGTCATTTCCAACACCACAGTTCAAAAGCATTGATTCTTCGGCGCTCAGCTTTCTTTATGGTGCAACTCTCACTTCCATACATGAACTGAGCTAAAAGCTGAGCACATACTGGGATTTACGGAGATCTCTGCTCTCAGGAGACTTGGTCCTTAAGTGCTTTAAACTGTCTCGGGACAGGACTGCAGCAAGTGCCTTCCTTGACCAGCTGACCAGGTGAGGCAGAGGTGGCATTTTAGCAAAGATGTAGAAGCACCAGAAGGGTGAGATGTGAATATGGCCCAGGAAGGGGGGATGGCAGGTGCAGTAGTCCCAGGGATGGAATTTCTTACTTGTAGGAAGACATGAAGGCTAGAGTATTGGAGTCTATTTGAGGGATGTGTGGTGGCTGGTCGACAGCTGTGACCCTAGCATTTCTTGGGCTCGGGGCGAGGCTGCCTCCTAGGATACCCCTCTCACAGCTTAACCTCAGGGCCTCAGAAGCCCTGGGCAGCTAACAGTGATGACAGTGCTGGCAAGATGACCACCATTCAGTAGCTTTACGTTTTACCAGCTCCTCTCACAGACTCTACTCGGCTCATTCCTTCCATCAGTGTGGAGGGCAGGGGTTTAGGTAGAGCCCAGAATGGCTGAGCCCTGGGCTACAGGGCGAGGGGCATTTGGACTTGAGCTTGGAGCCTTGAGACAAGGTCAGAAGTCCTGGCCCAGCCTGGTGTTGCGGACCCTCAGGCTGGTGCCCCAGTGTCCCCACTCCAGAAGACCCCAGGTGATTGTCCAGAGGGTTGAGGGTGATCAGGTGACTTCTAAAAGCAGCTTTGACAGATTAGATGGGGTGTGTTAAAAGCTGATTGTTTCAACAGGGCGGGATTTTAGTCAGGACTCCAAAGTGGGTGATGGGGGAGCAGTTTGGGAGGGAGTGGCCATGGCTGGGCTGGGAGAAGATATGGGATTGTTTCTGCAGGGTCTAGGTAATTGCATGTCACCTGGCTTGTGATCCACGTTAGGCCTGATGGGGCTCAGACGGTGTATGGCCTGCAACCGTGGGCCTGGCTGGGCTGGGGTTACGGAAAGACGGGTATCTGGATGGTTGAGGTGTGAAGGGCTGCAGGTGTATGGGTGCCTCGTTTATCCCTGTATCCCTGGTGCTGAGCATGGGGGGCCTCCCTGTGGGTGCTGGGCAAACAGTGCTTTATTTGGAATTAGGCAGATGCAACAGGGAAAGTTTAGAATTGGAATTCAGCCAGACTCTTGAGTTCCAGATCTCCCTTCTACAAGGCAGAGCCTGTCTCCTGCTTACCTCCTGCCTCCAGGAGTGCCCTGGACTTGTGGGGCGGGCCTGGAGCAGGGTCCCATGTGCAGGATGGCCAGCTGACCAGCCTGCCCCTGCCTCGCCCCCATGCCTTGGGTCTCTTGCAGCTCCTCCCACCTTTACAGAAACACCCCCCCAGTACATTGAGGCCAAGGAGGGCGGTAGCGTCACCATGACCTGCACGGCTTTTGGGAATCCCAAGCCCATTGTCACCTGGCTGAAGGAGGGGACACTCCTAGGTGCTAGCAACAAGTACCAGGTGAGTGTGGGTCTGTCGTGGGCCATTGCACCCCCTCCTTGCTGCCCCCTGCCTCCTGTCCTGCCACCAGTTCACCTTTGCAGAGGCGCAGGTGGGGCTGGAGGTGGCAGGCGGACCGGGTGGTATCTGTGACCTTGGAGGTTCCCCAGTGCACAGGCCCCGAGGCCCCCTCCAACTGGGAAAGTGTTGGTGGGGCTCAGGGTGGGAGCTGAGTCCGTCTCCTTGGCTCCAGGTGAGTGAGGGCAGCCTGACGGTGACGTCAGTCAGTCGGGAGGACAGAGGCGCCTACACATGCCGCGCATACAGCATCCAGGGGGAGGCGGTGCACACCACCCACCTGCTTGTCCAAGGTGAGGCCTCTTGCAGGGAGTCCTGGCCGCACTGAGCTGGGGGTCTTCCCAGGGTGTGGGTGGCTCAACTGGTGATGGTGGGGAACTCCTCCCTGTATCATGGGCTCCCTTGGTGTCCCACAGTGACCCTCCCATGGGGTGGCAGGAGGTGCCATGCTGACTGGGTTTCTGGTTTCTCTGAATGTCCAGGTGGTGTCCTGTGGTGTCTCCACCTTCCCCGGGGGAGAACTGCCCCCTGCCCCCCCAGACTCCATCCTCTGGTGACTGCCTTAATAAGTGAAGATTTGAATTGAGTCCAACCCCAGAGGCTTAAATAACATGGAGGACATTTGTCAGGGCTGGCGTCTGTGGGGTCAGCCCCTGCGATGCTCTGCCTGGGGCCCTGAGCCCCTCAGAAGGGGTGGCCTCTGTCCACCTGCTCCACTTCCCCCACCCCTGCTGGAGCGAGTGGCTGCGCCCGGCCTCCTGACTTGGGCGAGAGCTGGTGGCAGCCACAGGGTGTCTGAAAAGTCAGCACCAGGGCTGCTGGAACTCCAGCCATGACCTCTGCCTGCCCTGCCTCCTCTCCCTGACGCCCCTCCACCTGTGCCTGGGGAGCCTCTTACTCCTCTAGAGGCAGGCCGGTTCCTTCTGTGGGTCGAGGGAGCGGCCTTTCTCCTTCCTGTGTATGTGTATCTACGGAGGGGCTAGTTGGCTATTCAGGCGGCCAGATTGCAGAGGGGCTGTGCATGGGTGGGTGTCTGCCAAGAGCTGTGTGTGGCCACACCACTGGGCCCCTTGCATCCTTGGGACCTGCAGGGCGAGTAAGAATCTGAGCATAGGCAGCAGCTGGATGCGTCTCCATGACAACTGCTCAGTTGTGCTGCTTGCTTCTGGACCAGTGCTGGCCTGGTCCCTCCCAGGGCTCAGGGCACCCCTTTCCGAGGGGCAGAGCCCCCTGGCAGCTGATGCTGTGGTTCCCCCCGCCCCAGGAGAGGTCACATTTGTCCCTGTCCCCCAGGGCCTCCCTTCATCGTCTCCCCTCCTGAGAACATCACTGTCAACATCTCCCAGGATGCGCTGCTCACCTGCCGGGCAGAGGCCTACCCCGGCAACCTCACCTACACCTGGTACTGGCAGGACGAGAACGTCTACTTCCAGAAGTGAGTGCGCGCCCTGCCCTGGGCCCAGCCAGGCCTCCCGGCAGCGAGGCCTCCCAACAGGGACTGCCCTTGGGCTCCGGGAGCTGGTTGGGGCGGGAGGGTGAACTGGGGTCCCCTTCCTGTGCTCTGTGTGCTGAGACCAGTGTCGATGTGGGGGGCGCCTGTCCCACGCATCAGGGGAGGACTTGGGCAGGGCACAGTGCCCTGGCATCGCATGGAAGACTCTCCTCCCCGGCCCCCCCAAACCCCCACATTGTGTCCTATGTCCCTGCAGCGACCTGAAGCTGCGGGTGCGAATCCTCATTGACGGGACCCTGATCATCTTCCGGGTGAAGCCGGAGGACGCGGGGAAGTACACCTGCGTGCCCAGCAACAGCCTGGGGCGCTCACCCTCGGCCTCGGCGTACCTCACTGTTCAGTGTGAGTGGGCGCGCTGGCCATACTGGGGGCGGGAGGGCGGCCTCAGGGAAGGTGGGCAGAGGAGGGGCCGAGGCGAGGAGGGCATCACCCCGAGAGCAGGCCTGACCGGGGCTGGTTAGTGCAGGTGAATGGAGCCCGCTCTGGGCCCTTCTCCTGGCCATGCGGTTGTCCCTGTCCACTGATCCATCCCGCCGGCCTCACCCTGGCTGGGCTCGGGGCCAGGCCGGCCTTCTGGACACTGTCTTCATGCCGGTGCCAGTGCAGCTGTCTGCACCTGGAATGAAGTGCTTTTTCTCACTATCTGAGGGCATGTGGATCACCCCTGGTGGGTGGCTGTCGCCGTGTTGGCGAGGGGCACAGGCCCTCTCCCAGTGGCTCATCCACTCCAGCCAGCACCAGGCCCCTCTGGGCCTTCCCTCCGCGGCTCCCGGGGCTGCCCGAGACCCAGAGTGGCCGAGGGCTTCTGTGCAGCATCGTTCAGCTTGCTGGTCGTGGTGGGGAGAGGACGTGTGATGAGGGCTCTCCCCTCCCTCCTGATTGGCTGATGGCTCTGTCACTCAGGCCACACGGGCGCCTCTTGATGTGGTAGATGACAGGCACTCCATCACTTGATGGCTCATGTGGGAGAACCAGGCTCCTCCGCAGCACAGAGGGGCAGGCAGGCACGAGTGTGACCGTCTGGAGAGGGCCTGGAGGCGGTGTCTGAGCTGAGGATGTGAGCAGAACAGCTGGTGACCCAGGAGGCCGGCAGAGCGGGGGCCTGGTGGGGGGCTGCCCAAGTGCTGGCCTCACGCCCTCATGCAGTGTTGCTGCTGGTGGGGTTAGAGGCCTCCTCTCCAGTTTCCAGAGCAGAGGATCACTCTCAGCTGCTGTCCTGTGAGTCCCCGGGATGGCTGTGTGACCCGGGCTTCAGGTCTGTCCCACCCATACTTACCAGAGGAAGAGGCTCCTTTGCAGACTCCTCGTGGGGCAGATCCCATCTGCTGTGTCATGGGGCACAGAGGGGCAGAGACAGAGGCACAGGGCTGGTAGGAGTGGTCCCAGAGGACCCTGACCTGCCTGGATGAGGCTCCTGTCCTCCAGCTGCGGCCGTGCCTGCCGGGGAAGCGTGGTTTCCCGTCTCCCTCCGGTGCATCACCCACTCCCATTTGTCATTTCTTACCTCCTTCCTGCCTTCCAAGAGAATCTGGGGCGGGGGGAGGAATGAGATTTTCAGGTGGGTGAGACAAGGATCTTTATTTCTACTAAAGAGCAGTGTTCAGAGTATTTCCCATTCATAAACCCTTTGAAAACCTTGGAGGGGGAAAAAAAGCCTCCACCATACAAAAGTAGGAAGCTATGTCTAAATATACACCTCGGCCTGGTATTTATGTAATGCTCTTCTGCGAAGGGCTCCAGACGCTGACAGAGCCGCCCATTCATCCCTACCACCTCCTGGGGAGTTCTGGATCATTCTCCCGCGTGGCCCCTGGGTGATGACTCACCCGCGTCTCTGGGCTGCTGCTCCTGTCGCCCGAGAGCCTTCCAGAGGCTCCGTGGCTGACTCTGCATCCCAGCTACACAGATGGGAGACCGAGGTTGGGGGAGCGCGCAGAAGCAGCCTTGTCCCGAGAGCACGTGGAGAGAAAGGGCCTGGGGTCCTGCCGACTTGAGAGGGATGCTGTCATCTTACCAGTCTTATGAGTGGCCATACGCTGGCTTTGAGGTTGGGAGTCCAGGGGCTGGGGTGCTGAGGGTCCCCGCTGGCTGTCAAGTCTGTGGACAGAGGTGTTTCGGGAGAACTGCATGTGGGCAGGAGCGGCAGTGCCTCAGTGCGTCCAGACGGGGGTTCTTAAGGACGCAGGGACAGGCGTGCTGGCCTCTGTGTGGTCAGCCCTGGGGGTGGGCTCTGCTGTCTTGTGGCCCTGCTGGGCTGGCACCTGGTGCTACACAGAGTGTGGGGCCCTGGGCTGTGGGGTGGCTTGGCCCCAGCTGTGTCTTCTCACCCCTCCTTGCCCCCACTCCCACAGAGGGTCCCCGCTGGCTGTCAAGTCTGTGGACAGAGGTGTTTCGGGAGAACTGCATGTGGGCAGGAGCGGCAGTGCCTCAGTGCGTCCAGACGGGTGTTCTTAAGGACGCAGGGACAGGTGTGCTGGCCTCTGTGTGGTCAGCCCTGGGGGTGGGCTCTGCTGTCTTGTGGCCCTGCTGGGCTGGCACCTGGTGCTACACAGAGTGTAGGGCCCTGGGCTGTGGGGTGGCTCGGCCCCAGCTGTGTCTTCTCACCCCTCCTTGCCCCCACTCCCACTCCTGCAGACCCAGCCCGAGTCCTCAACATGCCCCCTGTGATCTACGTGCCCGTGGGGATTCACGGCTACATCCGCTGCCCCGTGGACGCAGAGCCGCCGGCCACCGTGGTCAAGTGGAACAAGGACGGCCGCCCTCTGCAGGTTGAGAAGGTGCTGGAGGGCCACATGTGGGTCTCGGGAGGCCCCTGGCTCTGAGATTCTGCCTCCGGGGATCTGGTTCCCACCAGGACCCCTCCACTCCCCTCAGAGTTCTGGGAGAGCAAAGAGCTGCTTCCCATGGGGCCAGGTCCAGCAGGTCTGGCCGTCCTCCCAGACCCGAAATGCCCCACCCCACATGCCTGCCCACAGAGGGTCAGCTCGGGCCTGGCCGGTGGGGCTGGACTGGACGTCAGCGCTGACCATGGCTCCGCTCCACTGTCTGTGCCTGGCAGAACCTGGGCTGGACTCTGATGGAGGATGGCTCCATCCGGATCGAGGAGGCCACAGAGGAGGCTCTTGGCACTTACACCTGTGTGCCTTACAACACCCTGGGGACCATGGGCCAGTCTGCCCCCGCGAGGCTTGTCCTGAAGGTGAGGCCGGGCTGCGGGTGCCTCCGTGTGAGCAGACAGGCTCCTCAAGTGCCCGGAGTCACGGCCCGGCCTGCTCTCCTAGGACCCCCCGTACTTCACGGTGCTACCGGGCTGGGAGTACAGGCAGGAGGCTGGCCGGGAGCTGCTCATCCCCTGTGCCGCGGCTGGGGACCCCTTCCCCGTCATCACCTGGAGAAAGGTACCCCTGGGCTCCAGGGCTTGTGGGGAGTGCTGGGGGGCCCTTTCCCCATCATCACCTAGAGAAAGGTACCCCTGGGTTCTGGGTCTTGCAGGGGTCGGGGTGGGAGCCCCTTCCCTGTCATCACTTGTAGAAAGGTACCCCTGGACTCCGGACTGCAAGAGCACCGTGGGGGTATGGCCGGGACCACTCTGTTCCCAAGGGGCAACAGGGAGGGTGACCCGGGGCAGTGAAGGGCTGCGGGGAGCACCATGGGGGCACGGCCGGGACTGCTCTGTTCCCAAGGGGCAGCGGAGTGCTGTGGGCTGAAGCCCAGTGCTGCCCCCCTTCTGGAGCCCTGAGTGTCGGTGGCTTCTCTTCTGCCCTGGCCGCCCGCTCCCGCCCCCATGTTTGGCCAAGGTAGGGAAGCCCAGCAGAAGCAAGCACAACACCCTGCCCAGCGGGAGCCTGCAGTTCCGCGCCCTGAGCAAGGAGGACCACGGGGAGTGGGAGTGCGTCGCCACCAACGTGGTCACCAGCATCACTGCCAGCACCCACCTGACCGTCATTGGTACGGACTGGGGGTTGGGTGGGGCCTGGCACAGGTGTCCCGTTTCCTGGGGCTCTTCCGCTGTCGGAGACATTGTCCCTAGGACCCCAGCCTGGACATTATGCCTGCCCCTCTGGGACAGACAGCCACTGTCGTAACAACAGCCGTTGGACATTTACCGCTGGCTTTAAGCTTGGTGCCTAGTGGTGCAAGGTGGAAGCTGGTATTCCCCCCAGGCTCGCTCACAGAGACCGAGGCCAGCCTAGGTGGGACACCTCTGCTGGCATCCCCACACTGAGTGGTGGGCCCTGGATTCAAACTTCTGCTGGAGATGTTGACGGCTGGCTGGACTGGGCTGCTCTCATGATGGTGTTTGGGTCTCAGGCCAGAGTCGTGTGGGGCAGGGCCTTTTGACTTTGCTGACCGCCATCAGGTGCACTTTGGTTCTCTGCAGACAAGCACAGTCCTGATGACCAGGGGCTGACTCCCCACCCCCAGCACGTATCCCTGATGTTCAGGCCGTTCTCCTCCTGGAAGAATCAGCCTCCCTGGCTGGACAGGTTTCTTCCTCCAGCCCCAGGGCCCTGGGCTGGACCCAGCTCTCCAGAGCTTCGTGGCCCCCACTGCCTCCCTGAGGCCACTGTGCTTGCAGGGCACTCGGGGTCACAGCCCCAGTCACACAGGTTCACTTCCCCCCTCCATGAGGTGTCTGCTTGGTCTCCAGGCACCAGCCCCCATGCCCCGGGCAGTGTCCGGGTCCAGGTCTCCATGACAACTGCCAATGTGTCCTGGGAGCCAGGCTACGACGGAGGATTTGAGCAGACATTCTCTGTTTGGTACGGACCTCTGTGAGTCACCCCTGCACGCCTCGCTCTCTGCTTACCCCTCCCCCATCTGTCCCCGGGGCTGGGGGGCAGGTTATGAGGAGGGTGTGGGTCTCCACTTGCTTGACCTTCCTCTGGACAGTGGGTATGTGCTGTCTGGTGGCGAGGCTTCTGTGGGCGGGGCGTCTGGGATGACGCCGGGGCCCGAATGGCCCACCACCCCGTGCTGAGTGTCCTCAGCTGATCTTGCAGCCCTTCCATGTCCTTGGCTTGCTCCTCTAGGTTTTCTTCTGTTCTCTGGAGTCTGGAAGAGACTCCTGATCTTGGGCATCCTAAGACAGCCCAGTTGCAAGCCTAGGATTAGCTTTATCCTGACCCTTCCCCCGTGGTTCCAGAGACCAGTGTGAAGTGGCGCTCACCTTCCTGCCCTCATCTGCACGTGTCCATTTCCTCTCTGGGACTGTGTGTCCATTGCCTTTGTACCTGGCTGTACATTCATTTGGTGAGATGCAGGGATTGGAGATCTTTGCCGAAACCTTGGGGTTGACTGGCATCTCAGTGATGTGTGAGTCAGGCTGAGAACAGGAGGGGTAGAAAAACTAGGAGGAGAGCCCTTGGTTGAGGTCCACACTCACCTAGGGTTTTCCTGAGCCCAGAGCTGGCCACCTGCCTCAGGGGCAACACTGTTGATTGGGGAGGGTGAGTGCTAACCTCCTCCTCTCCAGACCTGTCTCCTCAGGGTGCGTGTTGCCCCAGGCTCACCAGACCTAGAGAGGAGGAGACATAGTTGCGGGCTGTTAGAGACTCAGGCAGAGCCCTCCGTGGACTTCCAGCACAAGGGAGGTTGAGAGGGACCTGGCCTGTTTCCTAGACTCTGAATACCTGAGTTTTCTGAGTTCTGGATGCAAAGCAGACCCAGGTGGTGAGCTTGGGGGGGCTCAGAGTTGAAGCGAACCCCCTCCCACCCCCATGGGGCAGTCAGGGTACTGCCAGGGGGCTGTGTGGCCAGGGCAGGGCATGTGGCCACCTTCGGGAGGCCTGAGCAGAAGGTCTGGGCATGGACTGATCCCCTCGCTGCCTATGGCTCTGCTTTGCTGTGTCACCCTGCTTGCCTGCTGGGGTGCCGGGTGGGAGGGGCAGTCTCAAGCTAGGGGGCTCCTTCCCCCCTTTTCTCTGCCTGTCTGCAGCTCTCCCATCCTGACCTTTGATGCTGGCTTCTCTTTGCTGTGCTTTCTGCTGCCCTGGCTCTGCTTCCTGGGCAGAGGCAACTGTGAGCCGTCGGTGTGCAGGGACCCAGCCTCCTTGGGGGTCCTCGATCTGCACGGCCAGTCCAATGGGAGGCCATCCCCTCCCCATGGTGGCACTGGACAGTGTGCCTGGGCACCGGCTTCATGGCCAGTGGGGAGTGCGGCGGGCCGCAGAGCAGGGGTTGACCCTCTCCCCAGATTCCAGCATTCTGCACCCACAGTGACTTCTAACCCGGAAGGCTTTAGAATCCTGTCCCCATTGTGGGGAAGCACTCTTTGTTTTTGTCCAGTGCCCAACTCCTCCTCAGTGACAGCAGCCTGCTTGAACAGAGCAAACCTGCTTTGACCATCCCAGAGCAGCCGGGCAGCTGGGCACCTGGCCCCCTCTCAGGTCCCACTGGTGCTCATCCCTGCTCTCCCACTTCAGCCCCTGCCTTGTTCGCAGTGTCCTCACTCTCAGGGCAGGGCCACTCTTAAGACTCTTGCCCAGGGCGAGGTTCTCTCAGAATGCAACTGGTAATTTGACCCGTTTCTTGAGCGTCAACAATGCCAAGGGTCCCCTTTCATAGATGAGGCACCAGCAGTGGCTAGGGACCTGGCCTCATGGGGACAGGGTCATAGCTGAGTGGCCGTGGCCTGTTTCTGACCTCAAACCTGGGGAGGCCGGGGTGCCCCCCACCTCCAGCACCTGCGTGCCCTCTCCTGTCTCCAGTGTAACCCACCCCGTCTTCTTGTCCCCAATCCTCTCTCCCTTTCGGGCAGGATGAAGCGGGCACAGTTTGGGCCCCATGACTGGCTGTCCCTGCCCGTGCCTCCGGGACCCAGCTGGCTGCTGGTGGAAGCCCTGGAGCCCGAGACAACGTACCAGTTCAGTGTCCTGGCCCAGAACAAACTGGGCACCAGCGCCTTCAGTGAGGTGGTCACTGTGAACACTTTAGGTGAGGCCGGGCCGGGGCGCTCCTGGAGGAGCTGGGCTGGAGCAGACGTTTCTTGCCTGCTATATGCAGGCACCTTGCTAAGTGCCTATACGACTCACTGATGTCGCAGCAAGGGTCTGTCCCATCATCCCTCGGGGTTGGTCTGGACCAGAGTGCCCCAGCTGAGCACTGCGGGCGCCGTGAGCCAGCCTGATGAGTCTTCAGGTGGATGGAAGAGCTTTGGTTTCATCCTTCATGGCTGACCACCTGTTTCCATTTTCCTGTGGCTTCGTAAGGGGATTGGGGGTCCTTCTCCTCCTGTTCTCTGCTGGTTCCTTCCTTTGGCCCCCAGCCTCATTTGGTGGCAAGCGTGGACCCATCTCTTCCTTCCTGACCCAGGGGCCCAGGAGGGGCCATGCCCTCCTGGCTGCTGTTGCATTTGTCCCCTCTCTGCGGCCAGCGAGGGCAGCTGTGACTGGGGAGCTCCATGCCAGCATTGCCTGGGGTCCTTTATTACCACCAAGGGGGCAGCTGTGGAGCGGGGCTTATCCTGCCCCAGAGCTGCCCCCTGTGGGGGCCAGCTTTCCACCTGGGCCAGAGGGAAGTGGATGGACAGGGCAGCGCTGAGGGAAGGTGTTCCTCCTCCTTCGGAAGGGAATCAAAGTATCTTTCTAAAGATACCCCGTTACTTCCCGTGGTTCCTGATGTTTTTCCTGTGAGGGACTTGATGCTGTCACTGTCCCTCGGTATTGTTGGACGTGCCCTGGAGACAGAATCAGGAAGCTCAGGTCCGCTGCCCGGCCTCCTTCCCTTGGATCAGGACGGCTCTTCATGCGACTCTGGTCCTTAAATTGATGCCTGTTCCCAGGGGATGTGACCCTCAGCGCCGTGGGGTCCCTGTGCTGTAGGCACGCGTGGGTAGAGGGGGTGCAGCAGCCTCAGCGACCCCCTCGTTATCCCCCCCGCCCTGCAGCATTCCCCGTCACAACTCCAGAACCCCTGGTGCTGGTTACCCCACCGAGGTGCCTCACAGCCAACCGGACCCAGCAGGGCGTGCTCCTGTCCTGGCTCCCACCTGCCAACCACAGCTTCCCCATCGACCGCTATGTCCTGGAGTTCCGCGTCGGAGAGCGCTGGGAGACGCTGGACGACGGCATTCCCGGCACCGACGGGGACTTCTTTGCCAGGGACCTGTCACAGGTGCGGAGCCTGGCGTTCGCTGGAAGTGACCCTGAATTGCTTCTAGAATCACTGGGAGTTCATCACTGTGATGAGCTTCTAGAATCACTGGAGGTGTTGGGGGGCTGGCTGCGTACCACCACAAGCCTGCACTCCTGCTCTCCCAGGTCTGCTGCCAGGGTTTGGGGTCTTTGGGTTACGGCAGTCGAGGTCTACAAGTTCAGGACCAGCCCTGAGGGGTCTCCACATGCCACCAAGAGCCAGGGAGCACAGGGCGGGCTGCAGTCCGACGTGGGCATCCCAGGGTGGGAGCCCTCCACCCCCCTCAGCAATTCTGAGCCCTTGGAGAACACGGTATTTTTTCCGAGCTGACTCCCCTTATACCTTGGCATCTCTCTAGCTGGAGAGAGGCAGCTGCTTATCGCACATGTGCCTGCTCTCTCTCCTGTCTTCCCTTCTCCCTTCCCTGGATGCTCTAGAGCTGGGATTGGTCCCAAAAGCCCACATTGCCTCTCTTTCTAACTCTGCTTTCAGTGACCTCACATGTATAGCTTGGAATCGATCACAGTCCGAGTATTTATCCCATGGAAATTGGCAGATACCCCAAGTTGCAGAGTTGGTTGCGGAGGGGGAGGTCAGCTGGGAGGGGTACTGGTGGCTGTCACAGTTGTGCGGCTGACGGGATATCACCCCTGGGGCTGTAGGACACGTGGTACGAGTTCCGGGTCCTGGCCGTCATGCAGGATCTGATCAGCGAGCCCAGCAACATTGCCGGCGTCTCCAGCACAGGTACTTGGGGTCGGGACAGCATCAGCGCGCCAGCTTGTGCGGGGAGAGGCGGAGCCGGAATAGAGGAGGGGGCACCAGCTGACTATTTGTGTCATGACCTTCAGGTGGGTAGGGTTTCTCCACCGGAAGAGCCAAATTCATGACCATTTCTCTGCAGTAGCCACAGAAGGAAATCCAGCTAACCTTCTCGTTAGAATAGTTAAAAAGAACTTCAGTCCTTTTGCTGTCAAAGTTCTGTTCCTCTGGTGTTACCCACTTGTGGGGTGACGTGGGGGGTGCGAATTGGAGCAAAGAGACAGAAACAGGTCAGCGGTGCTTACCGATGCCTCTTGGTAAGGCAGCTTCATAATTAGGGTGTTTCATTTGGAAAATTGCTGTTTGGTGTTGTTTTCCTCCGCTCCTTCCTCTCCCTAGATTTTTTTCAGGCTAAATAAAGCCAACTCCCTAGCACTGTCTCCATTTATCTTCCTTTCTCTTGGCCCTGGGCCCAATTCTACGCATGTTTCTCCAGTTACAGTTCCTGCCAAGTAGCAGATCCCTCCCCCAGAAGTGGTTCCCTCGGTTTGGAAAGAGGCTTTTGCGTAGCGATCAAGCTGGGGCACACGTCCTTGGGCAGTGGTCGCGGGGCACCCCAGAGGCAGGGGGCAGGAGGGGGCCCGACAAGTTCATGCTTGGGATTCCTGGAGATGCTGGTGCGGTGGGGTGGGCAGGGAAGCGAGCCTTGTGGCGAACCTAACACACTTCTGTCTTGTGTGTTAGGCACTGTGGGGCTGGTTTCTTTTTTCTGTTTTTTTTTTTAAATTGATTTAGTTTTGTTTTTGGCTGTGCCGGGTCTTTGTTGCTGCATGGGCTTTTTCTACTTGTGGCACGCCAGGGCTACTCTCTGTGGTGTGCGGGCTTCTCATTGCTGTAACTTCTCTTGTGGAGCACGGGCTCTAGGGCGTGCGGATTTCAGTAGTTGCGGCTCCTGGGCTCTCGAGCTCAGGCTAAGCAGCTGTGGTGCGTGGCCTCAGTTGCTCTGTAGCCTGTGGAATCTTCCCTGACCAGGCATTGAACTTGTGTGCCCTGCACTGGCAGGCGGCTTCTTAACCACTGATCCCCTAGGAAGCCTGGTCTTGGTTTTTTTTCTCTCCTCGGAGGTGCCTGCTGTAGCCCAGCACACTTCTGTCTTAGAGTCCATCTGGGGGAGACAGCTGCAGCCCAGGCCGGGGTAGAGGAGTTGAGGGTTTGGGGGTGCCTCTTGTGAACTGTTCTGCTCAGTGACTTTATGTCTGGTTCCCAGTAGTTGCGAGAGTCCCTGGTGAACGTCCTCCAACTGCCTCAGCATTCCCTGTCTTTCAGCCTCCAGCTCGCAAAGGCTGAGCCCTCGTTTTCTACTCAGCACGATCTGGGTTGTTTTAATCCACATCTTCATCGACATGGAGTGGGTTCTGGCCCAACGTATCAAAGATATGTGGGCTTCCCTTTGATGAGCCGGTGGGGTGGCACTTCCTAATGAGCTGTTGGGTGATGTGTGATCCTGGGGACCCATCCAATCCCGCTGTCTCTCACAAGCTCTGTGAATCTGGGCCCTTCTGCTAATAGAACAGGATGTTGTCTGATGGCCCTGTCCACGCCAGCATGTGTCTGTGATGGCCAGGATGTGCTGACCCCCTGCAGGGGTTGCCCGCCTGCACTGTCATGGTAGAACGGGAGCCTGCATTCTGGAGTGACAGCCCCGCGCCGCTGCAGTCACCCTCTTGGGCCCTGGTCCTGTAGAGAGGCTGGCGGGAGTCCTGGTGGCCATGTGATATGTAGGCTCCCGCAGTGTCCGGTCATCCGGGCATGGCTTCTGGGTGGAGCGTGCTGCTTGGTGAGGGCACCTGGTGAGGCCATCAGGTAAGTGATGGCCTGGTCATCACCTGGTGAGGCTGCCCCACGGGGAGGAGATATAGGTGGTGACTCCTTGGCTCCCCGAATGCCCTTCCGCCTCTTCAGTGTTAGGGCAGAGCCTTAGACATGTGGATCCTGTGCAGGTGGAGAGGCACCTGGGGCCCTGGGGGAGGGAAGAGTCTCACCTGCGCTCCACCCCCCCACCCCCACCCCCCAGACATCTTCCCGCAGCCGGACCTGACTGACGAGGGGCTGGCTCGACCGGTACTGGCTGGCATTGTGGCCACCATCTGCTTCCTGGCCGCAGCCATCCTGTTCAGCACCCTGGCCGCCTGCTTCGTCAATAAGCAGCGCAAGCGGAAGCTCAAGCGCAAGAAAGGTGGGTGTTGCCTTGAAAACAGGGAAACCGGACCTTGTAGGCAGAGCTGCCAGCGGGACTTGCCTTGATGGTGGGAGAGGCGGCCGGGACCAGAATAAGGGTGGAGGCGGGCCTGGTGGGGGCGCAGCATCCTGGATGGAGCGGTGCCTGACACCTGGGTGCTCCTTCCCCACTGGGCTTTGCCCTGGGCCCTGCTGACATCTGGGGTGGGCTCTGGGGCATCAGCCTCAGCCAGCTCCGTCCTTTCTCCCTCCAGACCCTCCACTCTCCATCACACACTGCAGGAAGAGCCTGGAGTCTCCGTAAGTGGCCTCCCCAGGAGGAGAGGGCATGGCTGTCCGGGGTGGAGGGTGGAGGGCTTGCTCAGCCGTTTCACCATAATTGATCTGCATGGTGGTTTCAAGTTGTCTGCAATGACAGAGGGCGCAGTAGTGCAGACAACTCAAGAGAGCAGATGAACTGTTCCTCTTTGGCTTTAGAATGTATTTCTTTGATTTTTTTCCCCCCCATTCTAACAGATGTATCTTCTTAATATGTTTTGGTTAAGTTAATAGTAAAAGGAGCTTGCATTTCTTGAGCAATCTAGGAGTCAAGTTGCATGTGTGACTAGAGAGAGGTGGCAAACAGTAGGAGCAGACGGAATAAGTGTAGGAACAGGATGTCCGTTTGGAAAATGGACAGCGCCCACCTAGATAGTTGAGAGCCAGCCAGAATATCTCATGCCAGAACACGTGGCCCTCCTGTGTTGTTCCTCCTCACTCTTACCCTCCCAAGTGATTCAGGCACTTGGCGGGAAGAACATAAAGAAGTCCTGTCCTCCGAGCCCCCCTCACGCCGCCTGCTCTCTCCCTGCCCCCAGCCTGTCCTCTGGCAAGGTCAGCCCTGAGAGCATCCGCACGCTCCGTGCCCCATCCGAGTCCTCCGATGACCAGGGCCAGCCGGCGGCCAAGAGGATGCTGAGCCCCTCGCGCGAGAAGGAGCTGTCCTTGTACAAGAAGACCAAGAGGGCCATCAGCAGCAAGAAGTACAGTGTGGCCAAGGCGGAGGCCGAGGCAGAGGCCACCACGCCCATCGAGCTCATCAGCAGGGGCCCGGACGGCCGCTTCGTGATGGACCCCTCTGAGGTGGAGCCCTCCGCCAAGGCTCGGCGCATCGAGGGCTTCCCCTTCGCTGAGGAGACCGACATGTACCCCGAGTTCCGCCAGTCAGATGAGGAGAACGAGGACCCGCTGGTGCCCGCGTCCGTGGCCGCCCTCAAGTCCCAGCTGACCCCTTTATCGTCCAGCCAGGAGTCCTACCTGCCACCACCAGCATACAGCCCTCGATTCCAGCCCCGTGGTCTGGAGGGCCCTGGCGGCCTGGAGAGCCGGCTGCAGGCCACCGGTCAAGCCCGGCCGCCGGCCCCCCGGCCCTTCCAGCACGGCCAGTGTTATGGGTACCTCAGCAGCAGTAGCCCGGGGGAGGTGGAGCCGCCTCCCTTCTACATGCCGGAGGTGGGCAGCCCCCTGAGCTCCGTCATGTCCTCGCCGCCCCTGCACGCCGAGGGGCCTTTTGGCCACCCCACCATCCCCGAGGAGAATGGAGAGAACGCTTCCAACAGCACACTGCCCTTGACTCAGACGCCCACGGGTGGGCGCTCCCCGGAGCCCTGGGGCCGGCCGGAGTTCCCCTTCGGGGGTCTGGAGACCCCGGCCATGATGTTCCCCCACCAGCTGCACCCTTGTGAAGTGGCCGAGAGCCTGCAGCCTGCGGCTGGCCTCCCACGAGGACTGCCGCCTGCCTCCCTGCAGGTGCCCGCGGCCTACCCAGGCATCCTGTCTTTGGAGGCACCCAAGGGCTGGGCCGGCAAATCGCCGGGCAGAGGCCCCGCCCCAGTGCCCCCCACCGCCAAGTGGCAGGACAGGCCTGTGCAGCCTCTCGTGAGCCAAGGGCAGCTGAGACACACCAGCCAAGGAATGGGCATACCTGTGCTGCCTTACCCCGAGCCGGCTGAGCCGGGGGCGCATGGCGGCCCTAGCGCGCTGGGCCTGGACACCCGGTGGTACGAGCCCCAGCCCCGGCCCCGGCCCAGCCCCCGGCAGGCCAGGCGCACTGAGCCCAGTTTACATCAAGTGGTGCTACAGCCCTCCCGGCTCTCGCCTCTGACCCAAAGCCCCATCGGCTCCCGCACCGGCTCCCCTGAGCTGGCCGCGCGGGCCCGGCCCCGCCCCGGCCTTCTGCAGCAGGCCGAGATGTCAGAGATCACGCTGCAGCCGCCGGCCGCCGTCAGCTTCTCACGAAAGTCCACGCCGTCCACGGGCTCCCCATCCCAGAGCAGCCGCAGCGGCAGCCCCAGCTTCCGGCCCACCGTGGGCTTCACCACTCTGGCCACAGCCTACCCCTCCCCTCCGCCAGGCCCCACGGGGCCTGCGGACAGCTTGGATGTGTTTGGACAGACGCCTTCCCCTCGAAGGTTGGGGGAGGAGCTGCTCAGACCGGAGGCCCCCCCTCCACCCTTACCGAGTTCAGGGTGAGTGTGAGCTGGTCTCTCATGCCCACCGCACCTGATCATCTTCCGCCCCTTCCCCCCCACCTCCCACCCCTGCCCCTCCATCCACCGAATGACAGGGCTTGTCTGGACATGCTGCAGATCCTTCAGGAGAGGAGTGCTGGTCTTGGCATCGCCAGGGTGTGGTCACTGGGGTGGGGGTGCGGCTTACCTGCCCAGGTACCTGGCCAGGAGCATGAGGGGTCTTCTCCACCCTGCCCAGAGCTCGCAGGAGACCCCCGCCCAGGGGGGCAGCCAGGGAGAGGACACGGATGGGGGAGGGTATGTGTGTCCCTTGAGTGGTCACCCAGTGCTTCCCAGGGAGCCTGACTTTGGGTGGTTCCAGAGTTTGCCCGGAGACCTCGTGTCCAGCCTCCTTTTCTTCCTTGACCCCTCCTCCTTGGAAGCAGGACCCTGGGGCCTGGCTTCCCTGGGCCCCCAGGCTCTTGTCCCCAACTTCCTGCCCTCTGCTGCCTAGTGAGCGCCGCACCACTCCCTGCCCCCTGCTACACAACCCACCACCACACACTCCAGCATCTCTAGAGGCTGTGTCCTCCTGGAGGCTGAAAGCAACATCTCAGGCCTGTGAACCCTGAGCCCGAGCCACACACCCCACCCCAACCTGTGTGCCTCGCAGGAAGCTGCAGACATACAGACAGACAAACAAGCCCCTGCGATCAGCCGGCCTGGGGGAGCCCACTGTAAACGGTAGCAGCTGGTGTGCCAGGTACCAGTGAGCCTGGACGCCCGCCCGTGCTCTTTCTCTCGGGTCCTTCTCCCACCCTCCTCCTTCCTTCTCCCCGAGTCCGTCCTTCTCTGTCTGTCTCTCTTCCTCCTTCTTCTTTGGGTTGGCCCGATTTGCTGAGATGAGCCTGCACCGTCTGTAGACCCCACATCTCCTGCCCCCGCCCCCTCTGGTTCCGTCCTTTGGTCTTCTTCTTTGGTGTGGCCGCCTGTGCCGGGGAACAGAGTCCAGAGCAGAGGCTGGCCTGGTGGTAGGCAGACGGGAGGTGGTCGAGAGGAGGAAGCCCGGCGCCCTGCCCCCTTCACTCCCCCCTCTGGTACCTGGAAGCACAAGCCTCACCGCCCACCCCTCGGCTCCGGTGGGGGAGGAGGCTCGGGAGGTGGAGGAGAGCCGTGCGCTGTCTGCAGGAGATGCTGGGGGCCGTGCCCTGCCGTCTGCGCTTTGTGCAGCCCTCATCTGCTTCGTCCCATCGTGCCGTCTGGGTCTCTGTCTCTCTCCTTCCTGCCCCTCACCCCATTCTCTGGCCTCGCTTGTCGGTTCTCTGATCCCCGTGCTCCTCCCCTCCCCTCTGGGTGTGCGTGGGTGGTCCCGGCGCCCGTGTTGATAACCGCTTTGTTTCTGATTGATCTCAGCTATCTGGGCAGTGTTGTCGAGACAAGCCTCTCTTCAGCTCAATAGGTAAGGGAGCTCCGGCTGGGCGGGCGGTGGGGGGCGAACCGGCGGACGGGCTTCGGCAGGGCCATCGCTTCCTCTACGGGGGAATCCAAACCATAGCCCCTTGGTCCTCTGTGGGGCGGCAGCCTCTGCTCCGATCCCCTGCGGCTTCCTGGGCTCCCCATATCATGCTGTTGCCACAGCCCGCCGGGCCACCGCCTAGCTGCAGCTTCCGAGCCCCGCCCAGAGCCCCCCTGGTTTTTGCATCCAGACACCCGCATCCTGCTGTCCAGAGCTTCCCACAGAAGCCCTGGCGCCTGCATGCACCCGAGGGCCTAGAATGCCTAGAGCGCTTTGCATCTCTGCACTTGGGAAACCTGTCTGGGCCCTGGGGTATCTGTGAGCACCTGCTCTCTTCTGCCCAGTTTTCCCAACAGCCTCCAGCACAGAGGCCCCCTTCTTCCCTGGCCCCTTGATCTGCCCTGTTCCCTCCCTGTCCTCTGGGGATCCTATTGATAACCAGTCTCCCTGTAGCTTGGGGCTGGGCTGTGGCCTGCTCCTTTGCTCACCAGCTGGGTCTTTCTCTGGTTCAGGCCCCTCATCGTCCTGTGAGGGCCCTGGGCAGCGAAGGTCACCACTCCTGAGCCCTCACGGCAGCCTGTTCTTGGCCGTTGCAGGACTGAGGTGCAGACCTCGCCCGGAGGCTCGCTGCTCTCAAGACCTGTGCAGCAGCCACTCCTGCCCTCTCTGGGCCGCAGCTCTGGGGGCTTTTGGGAGGAGCCCCCTAGAGGAGAGAACTGGCCCCGGGCAGGGGATTGGCAAGAAGCTGACCAAACACCACTTTCCTCCCTCTGCTCCCCTGTGGGTGCCTCCTCTTCTAGGTGGCGGTCTCAGCAACTTGACAGCAGAAGGGTACCGAGTCTCTTAAAGAGGCTTCTGTGGTCCCCTTAACCCCATCACTCTCATGGTGGCTAAGAAGATGCTGCTTTTTGCCATGGATGCTTTTGGGGACTAGCCAGTGCGGGCACCAGGCACTCAGACAGGAGCGGAGCCTCCCCCCGGGTACTTCTGGCTTCCAGGAGGAAGCCTCGTCTCCTCCCCACCTGGAGATAGCAGGGGGCGAGGGAGGCAGAGGGGGCTGCCTGTCCTCGAGTCATGAGAGTGGCCTCCCATAAACCAGAGCCTATTTGCCAGCTCCTCATGATCTGCAGCTGGGAAGGTGTCTGCAGCCAGAGGTCCAGGTCTTGGGAAGCTGGCTGGTGCCACGCTCTGGGAGCCCAGGGACAGCAGTTTTGAGCAGCCAGCTAAGTGACAGTGACAGGCTGGCCCTCCACCTTCCCTCTCTCCTCCCTGACTCCAGTTTGACCCCCCGAGGAGTTGATGACTCCAGGCCCAGTGCTCCCCCTTCATTCTTGAAAAGTGCCTGGGCCCTGTTCTCCTCCCTGGTGTCCCAGATCTGGTGGCTGAGTGTCCCCTCACTGTTGTGACAAGCCCAGAATCCAGGGGTGTGACGCGGGAGCTGGGTTTCTGCCTGGCCTGGCTGGCTCCTTGGCCTCGGGAAACAGGCCCTCACCGCGCTGCCTGTCAGGAGCTCGGACAGAGGCCGGGGGGGCCCCCGCAGGCGCCGGGCTCCCCCATGGACGCTGCCGTCTTGCCCCCTTTGCATGTGTCCCTCTGGGTCTGTTGGAGAAGGTGTGACTCGTCTCGTCTGCGTGCGTTCTTGCTCTGTCCCCCCTCCCTGCTGCCAGCCCACAGCCGCCCCGGGCCGCTCCTCCTCTCCTTTTCCTCCTCCTCCAGCTCCCTTCTCGGAACGGGGAGTGGCGGGTGGTTTCTGGGAGGACTCGGCCTGTCAGTGGCTGGGGCTCTTAGCTCCCTGTCTGAACACTAGCAGCCGCCCGGGCCTCCCATCCTCTCGGGTCCCCTTTCCTGTTCATGCTGACCGTGGCCTCCATGAGGCAGGCATGCCGGAGTGTGTTGGGGACCCTTGTACTGGGTGAACCCAGGGAAGGCGGCCCCGTTGGTAAAAGCCTGGCCTGAGTCGGGAGGCCACACACTTGGCCCACTGGAGGGGCCGTCGGTGGGCGGGAGGGCGCCCCTCAGCAGAGCCCTGGTGGCTGTGCGGTCATGGAAGGTGGGTGCACCCACGTCCTGGCCACCCTGTGGATGAGAGTGCGTTTGCTCGGTCTCCTCCCCAGCGCCCTAGACAGAAGGCAGAGTGTGCACTCCGGAGAGGAAGGCTGCACTCTTTCTCCTCTGCTTTGCCGCTGCCAGGCGGGTGACCGTTCTTGGGCAGGAGGGGCCCAGGGTCTCGGCCGTCCTGCGCTGCGGCTTGCCTTTCTGAGCTGGGCTGTGCCTTCCCTCCACTGCTCCGGGTGGGCACAGCGAAAGCAGCTGAGAGGTCTCTGGGACTGTGAGACTGATTTGGGTTTTGCATGAATTTTATCATGAGTAAGAGTCAAAGAGTGTTAAGGTATATTTCAGGCCATCTTTGGTAGGTCTGAACCACAGAGAAACACTGTGGCACATAGACCTGGAGTTCACCGGGGACGCCAGGCTTTGAGGCCTCACCTTCCAGTAATGCTCATTCTTTCTGAGGGAGGGGTCCAAGTTTGATGACTCTGTGTGTGTTCTGGAAGGACTGGGGCTGAACGGAAAGAGAGTTCCAGCCTCGCCTCCCTGTCTGAGCTCCTAGGCATCAAAGTGCATTGCCCGGAAGTCGCCCAGGGGCTTAGCCTGGACAGGGGACAGGGTCCCCCTTTCCAGAGAAGCAGGCAGTTGGCTTCCAGCCTGCTGGGATGCTTCGTGTGACTTTTCTGCCTAATTAACTGAATATGAAGGCCCACTGTGCCTCGCTTCCCGCACCCCTGTCCTTCCAGACCCTGCCTTTTTATCTCTGCCTCCTGTATGGGCAAGCAGCCCAGTGCCTCGGGGCCTCTCCTGTTGTGTGTCAGAGTCTGAACACCGAGCCAAACGCAGGAACAGGTGGACAGCAGGTGTCCTGGAAGGGCTGGAGCTTGGTTGCTTCACAAGGAAAACTGGCTGCCCCTGCATCCACTTCCCAGTGGCTTATTTCTTCCTTTTGGGAATCCTTGCAGAGGGCACGCCTGAGCCATCTTCCCTCCCCAGGCTGTCTTCTCTGGTTCTGCCACCAACACAGGGAACGCCCAAGACGGTGGCAGCGCGGGTGTCCAGGGCAGGCTGACTGCTCGGGGCATGGTTGGGCTGCGGTGTGAGAGCAGTGTCCTCCTCCCGTGGGGCTGGTGCCTGTTCCATCAGGAAGAAGCTGCGCACACAGCTTACCGGACATTGAGAGTCTTGGCTGTGTCGCGTTGACAACTGGATTATGAGACAAATGGCATAAGCTCTTTAACTTCAGTTTCTCCGTCTGAAAAATGGGGTTCATTTCATGTTTGCCCCTTAGGGGTGCTGTCAGGGTTCAGGGGGATTACTGCAGAGAACATAGATCAGTGCCTAGCATGGTGAGTGGTGAACAGATTCTGTATGATGAGAGCAATGATGACAGTGATAAGGATACTGACCCTGGAAGCCTTAGCTGCCTGGGGGAATCCCTTGCAGTTTTGGGGGGCATCCTGTACCTGTTTCTCTCATGCCCAGTGGGTCACCCTGCATTGTGTGGTTTGCACCCTCGCCTCTGGCCTGCTGGCTTGTCACATGCCTCCTCGGATGGTGTGCCGCTCACTTGTCTGCCTCTGGAAGAGGCCGGCCAGCACCAGCAGGCGGATGACCTGAGCCGTGCGTTCACATCTTTTTCCTTCCAGGCAGCACCAGGAAGCCTTAGTCCAGGATGAGCGGGGTGAGGCTGCCGCATCAGCTCCAGGGAGTCACGCTCCCTCGTGGCCTGGCTGTCTCCATTCTTGGTCTGCTTCCAGATTTCCTTCCAGCTGCTGCTGTGTAGGGCCTCCGGGGGTAGACTGCGGTGTCTGTGAAAGAGGAGGGAAGGGGGAGCTGGCAGTTGGGTCTCTGGGTGAAGACCAGACCTCTGATGGTGAGCTGGCCTACTTCTCTCTGAGGCCACGTGTGCAGGGGGGCTCTTAGCTCTGTGTTTCGAGGGGGCTGATGAAAATTGAGATGCTGTCTCTGACCTGGACGCGGGAGGAGCTTCCCTGCACTGTATCTGTAGAAAGGCCGTGGAAGGATGGCATCCATCAGAGAAGATGCAGGTTGCTTTACTGTCGGCTGGATCAAGAAGCCCCAGGAACCAGAGGCTCGTCTACAATTAGCCTGTGTGATTTCTTCCTTGTCCCTACAAAGATCCCTGAGGTTGGGGAGATGCGGCTGTGGTCTTCCTGTCCCTCTCTCTTTTTTAACCTTAGATTGCTTGCTCACCGCTGGGGACTGCTTTTCCCCTCACAGGTTTGGCTGTCCTCCTTCCTTCAATCAGGATTTACCAAGCATTGATTGTAATGGAGATGGAAGAGTGAGGTGTGGGGAGGGAGATGGGGAGAGTGACTGCCCCCCAGCCCTCAGGATTTTGGGGGTGGCCCTGATTCCCTGATGGCGTGCTGACAGCAGTACGGGCCGGAAAGAAAGAGCAACTTGTGTCTCTCTTTCCCCCTTTAGTTCTCACACTCCACGTTTGGCTTCCTGTGAGAAGAAATGGCATTGATCTTCTAGATTTTCTTCTGACTCTTGAGCTCTTCTCTCCCGTGAGTGCAGGTCATTACAGCCCATCCTCTCAGCTCTCTCTGAGCTCTCTGTCATCTTGGTGGCATGCACTCCGGGTGTTGCCTTTGTCCTGATTGCACAGGCACTCTGTTAGGTGAGCTGCTACCGCCACTCCGCAGCTGGGGCGGGAGGAGACTCGGACACAGGTCTCCTCTCCCCACAACCTTGGTTTCTCTGTATCTTAAGCCATGGAGACACTGGCTGCAGGTGTCCCGGGCTTTGCCAGACTGCCCGATTTGGACACTGACCATCGTAATCCACTTCTGCCCTTGTCTGTTCTCTCATGCGACCAATCTCCAATTGTCCCTTCCAGGACACATCTGCCTGCACCCGGGAATGCTGCTGCACCTGAGAGGCTGGAGGCTCTGAAATACCAACGGATAAAGAAGCCCAAAAAGTCATCCAAGGGCTCCTCGAAGTCAAAGAAACGATCCGGTAAATGTGGAGAGGCGTGCCATCCCTCCTTCCCCACCCCAACCTGCCTTTACAGATCCCAGCTCTGGGTTCTCTGCAGAGTCAGCTCCTCTAGTGTGTCTTCCTCTTTGCTTCTCTTTAATGCTAATTGCCAAGTGATATACAAATAGAATTTTCATATCAAGAAAGGAGAAAGATAAGGTTAAAATCTGATTGTCCTCCCAGTTTTGTTTCATCCAACCTAGAGACCATCCTTCTTGGGGGCATGTGTGTTCAGAACCCTTTTGTGCGTACACTTTTAGAAAATAATGGCATTGTTTTAGTGTATTTTTAAAAATATTTATTTTTGACTGTGCTGGGTCTTTGTTGCTTTGCGTGGCCTCTCTAGTAGTGGTGAGCAGGGGCTACTCTTTGTTGTGGTGTGCGGGCTTCTCATTGTGGTGGCTCCTCTTGTTGTGGAGCACATGCCCTAGGCTCACGGCTTTAGTAGCTGTAGCGTGCAGGCTCAGGAGTTGTGGCACACGGCTCACTTGCCCCGTGGCATGTGGGATCTTCCTGGACCAGAGATCGAACCTGTGTTCCTGTCACTGGCAAGTGGATTCCTATCCACTCTACCACCAGGGAAGTCCTAGTGTATTTTTTAAACAATATAAATAGTACTTTTCCCCTCAGTCTGCCATATGCCTTGGACAGATCCCTGTTTCCTTATGTATTTCCTCTTATCAGGCCTCTGGTTGGACATGGGGATTCTGGGGTCCTACTCAGTGTTAATCTTAAAGGAAATCACACCTGAATATTCATTGGAAGGACAGATGATGAAGCTGAAACTGAAACTCCAGTACTTTGGCCACCTGATGTGAAGAACTGACTCATTTGAAAAGACCCTGATGCTGGGAAAGGTTGAAGGTGGGAGGAGAAGGGACAACAGAGGATGAGATGGTTGGATGGCATCAGCTACTCAATGGACATGAGTCTGAGTAAACTCTGGGAGTTGGTGATGGACAGGGAGGCCTGGCGTGCCTGTCCATGGGGTCACAAAGAGTCGGACACGATTGAGCATCTGAACTGAACTCAGTGTTAAGGGGTCACTGTGGCATGGACTCAGTGTCTGAGGTGGGGGCAGACTTCTCTCCATGAGTTAGAGTGAAATTGCCTTATTTCATAGAAAAGACATCTCTGCTGAAATGGGTGCTGTTTACCCAGCAGCTGTACACAGCTTCTAAGATACTGCAAAAATAGTTAAGCCTTATTTCAGACTTAGAAAACTCTTTACTATTTATCACATGCTCTCATTCTACCAGTGGTTTTTGGAGTGCTGTGACAGCCTGAGAAGACCACTGCATGGCTTCCTTGCTAATCTATCTTATCTACCACAGAGATAGAATATGGAAGAATGAGACACGGAGGCCCTTGCATTTCTGGGATGCAGTGAGCTCTCAGTTCTCACTTGGCCTCTGGGTGGTACTATTATCCTATCAGTTTATAGCTGAGGATACTGAAGTTTAGAGAAACAAATTTTTTTAGGTTTTTGGGAGAGAAGAGTCCAAAGCTGAATTTTCAACCCATTTAAGCCCATTCTATCTATCTACCTATATATTATTTATCTATCATCTGTTTTTTGTTTTTTTGGCAAAAAAAAAAAGTCCCATGAGATGCTTATGTTCTCTTTTTTTAAGTGGTCCTGTCCCCTGTATGTGTTCACAACTCCACAGTGCTCTGTCTTTAGCCCAGCCTTTATCTATGAGCTGGTCTCATATTTCTGGGTGCCTGCTGCCCATGCTGCTGGGTGTTCTGTCTCAGTTATGGATGATCTTCCATGTCTGCTTCTCCCGGTTCTTGCCCAGTCTCATAAAAGCCTCTCCTCCCCACCTAGTCACTCAGGCTCCTTGATTCCCCTTCTCTTCTCACATCTTGTCCATCTCGTGAGGTCTGTTGACTCCACTTTGTTTTTTAAAGATGTTTTTGATATGGATCATTTTTCGAGGCTTTATGGAATTTATGACATTGTTTCTATACTTTTTGGGGTTTTTTGCCCACAAGGTGTGTCGGATCTTAGCTCCCCAACCAGGGCTTGAATCCACACCCCCCCCTGCACTGGAAGGCAAAGTGTTAACAACAGGGAAGTCCCCTGTTGACTCACTTTCTAAGACACACACTATATCTGTTCCCTTTTCTCTGTCTCAGATGCTAAAGCTAAGTTCTCAATTATTCCCATCTCTCCCCTGGACCAGAGCAGCAGCCTCCTATCTGGTCCTCCAGCTTCCGTCCCAGCTCCTGCAGTGTATTCAACACACAGTGGCCAGAGTGGTTTTAGAGAGTGCCGTGAGTGTGCGCGCACACACATGCAGCACGTGTACACACACACTTCTGGCTAAGACCTCCGGAAGGTCCCCCTGCAACCAGAACAGGCTTCTGCCTGCCCTCCCTCTGATGAGTGTGGCGGCCCCCCTTCAGTCTCCAGGTCCTGTTGCGTTTGCCCCTCGCTCGGGGCTGTCACGCTGAGGGGACACTTCTCCCCGAGGCCTGTGGAAGGTTCGTGATGTGAGACTCACCTCGGTGTTGCTCCTTCAGGGCAGAAGCAGCGCCCCAGATTTTCTGCCTCAGGGTTCTGTGCTACCTTTCTTGGTAGCGCTTGCAGCATCTGAAGGCTTTACGGCTGTGGTTTTCAAATCTCTATTGTCTCTTCCTCCTCATCCCCACGTTAAAGTATAACCTTCCAGAACGAGAGGGCTTCACTTCTGTGTCCCCAGAAGCACCATGCGGCAGAGGGATGGCCCAGCAGTCCAGGGTGGGCCAGACCTGACTGTGATGCAGACAAGTAAAATCTTGTGAGACATGCATCCCTGCTTGTGGGAGGGGGTGGGGGGTAAGCGTGCTGAGTCCCAACCCTGTGCCTGGAATGATGGCCTGGTACCCAGGAGGCACTGAGAGAGATGGGTAAATATTTCTTTAAAAAAATAGAAAAAAAATTAGATGAAAGGTACTGAATATATTCAATATTAAATACGAGATGAGAGATGCTGCTTGACTAGATCTGAGTCTGCAGGGGGTGCAGCTATGCCCACCCTGCTTTCTGGCTCCCACTAGAGCAGCACTTGGGGTGGCCGGGGCGCTGTCTTCTCTGTTGCACTTTCTGCTCTGGACTCTGGGCAGGTGGGTGACTCCAGCGTGTGGCCCTGGGGGCCAGGCAACATGCCCTGCCGGGGACAGCGGGGGTGCACCGCTGCCTTCTCACTCTTACCATACTCTCCTCCTTTCCTGTCTTGTTCACACCTGCTCCCCACCCCCACAGATGGTTCTGCCTCCCAGGCTCAGCACCTTCCAAACTCTCAGGTCCTGTGGCCCGACGAAGCTGTCTGCCTCCGGAGGAAGAAGAGACATTCCCGGCCCGACCCCTTCGCCCGTCTGTCGGACTTGTGCCACCGCCAGCTCCCGGAAGACCAGAAGGCAATACTCAGTAGCGTGGAGCACGATGACCCCGGCCACGCCACTCTGCTGTGATGTTGCCACTTAAGTGTCCCCTGAGCGAGGCTGCTGGTTGAGGGGCAAGGGTGGTCATGGGGCGATGGGTGTGCGGGGCTTCGTCCTCCCCTGCCGGGGGAGCGGTGGCCCGGCTGTTGGCCTCCAGGGCTGTTCAGACCCTGGCTCCACTTGTTCTCCCTCTGGTCTGAGCGGGCATCTCCTCCGCCTCCCAGCCTGCTGGCCTCGTGTCCGGGAGAGAGGGCAGAGGGCACATTGGCCGCCATGGCTGTGGGTGGAGTTTGGGAAGTGAACTGGGGACAGGGAGAGACCTGCCTCCTCCCCCCCTCTCCCCGCTTCACTAGATGGATTGCCCCACCTCCTCAGCTATCAGTGGAGTGAAAGCGAAGCAGTGGCTCGCATCGTGCTCTGCTTCTGTCGAGTTTCTCGAGTCCTGAAAGAGGGCTGTACTCTGCCGTCTTCCAGACTCCACATATATATAGCTATAGATGCAAATGTGTATGTGTGTAGTTTGTGGGTTTCTCTATGTATATATATGTACGTGGGAGCAAATGCTGCTCACTCCTGTGGTCAGTGGAGGAAGGAGGGGGTGGGGGCAGCTGGCGTGTGGGCTGGGCAAGGAGGACTGGGGGGAGCTGGCGGGGGCTCTGGTGTCCGTCTCTGGAATGAGTCCCCTTGAAATGGGGTTCATGCCTTCTCACCTGGGTCCCCCGTTTGTCTCAACCTTGTTGTGTCCAGGGCAGAGTGAGGGCTTGCCACGGTGACTGCTGCCTGCTCAGGGGGCTCAGCAGTCCATTACCATGGAACTAAACACTGCCTCCATTTCTCGGTCCCGGGCGGAGAAGGGTGGCTGGTGGGCGGCCAGGCGGGCGTCTCTCTTGCTTTCATGGTCTGGCTCGGAAGTGAAGCTGCTTAACAAGCGGGGCTGGGGGTGGCCCTGTGCCCAGACTGGAGCTCCTCATTAGCCCCCGGGGTCCAGCCGGGCCCAGAGCCTTGTGGCCGGGGGCCTCCCGCTCCAGAGCCATCTGTGCCGAGCACCCAGCGCTGCGGCTCTATTTATATCCTGTGCCCTCCGGAGCGCTGTTCCAAAGCTCTGATTGGATTCCTCCTCTCCTTTTGTGGGAGCTAATTCCCCAGATTGATTAATTGCCACGTGTGGGGAGCCCGCCCACACTCCTCTCCACGCTCCCCATGTGCCCCCCTGCAGACCTGAACTCCCACAGGATGGGGTCAGATAAAGCTGGGGGCCTGCATACTGGGTTCCGGGGGTGCTCTGGGCACCCCCACCTTCCTCCAGGGCTGCTTGTATAGAACTGGCTGAGGGCTGGGGTTGAAGGTGAAAGGGGTGGGAGGTGGGAGCCGGGCTCCATCCTTTCTCTGTTGAGCTCTCTTCCTAAGTCAGACTCTTAGCACCCAGAAGCCTCTGCGAGGTGGTCTGACGGCGACAGGAGAGGCCTCTGTCTCTCGTGCGTGCATGGTGTGTGCTGCCCTCGGCGGGCAGAAGGCCTGTGTGTGGCTAGGGTGCGTCTGGCCTCTTTCTCTTCCTCTTGTGCCAGAGTCTGCCCTTCTGGCCACCCGAGAATCACGGTGGCGTCAGGTTCCTGCAAGTACCTCCTTCTTGGTGCTGCTGTCTTGGTGGGTTTGGGACAGCCCCTGTCCCCAGTTACCTGCCTGGGTATTGGCCCCATCACAGCACTGGACACTTCTCTGGCTCTCAGTCTGGGGACCTTGGCAAGCTAACCTGAGTGTGGGAGCATCATCCCCCTGGGAGCATCCATCCTAGGGGTGAATCCTCAGCCCAGTGCTTTCTTCTCACGCCCAGTGAGTGGGGACCCATTCCACCCTTGGGGCTCTGCCTCACACATCACACAACTACAGTTTCTCTCCAAACATGACCATCGTGGAGAAAGAAGTGGCAGGAGCAGTGTTTGTGGCTGTGCCTCGTCCACTGCCCACCACTGACCTGGTGGAACCTGCCCCTTCTGGCCAATGTACTTCTCTGGGCACCATGTCCAAGCCCCACCCGGGCGGCGGCTCCAGCGAAGCAGCGACTCTGCTTCCTCCCCGAGGCAGCACTACCTCTGCCGCTGTGCCCGACGGGGGGCTCACGGGCACCTCTACTGGGCCCAGGGGTCGGTTGTGGCCTTTGTCTGTACTCTCATGGTGGCTGTTTCTTGAGTGGAGCAGGTCCTGGTGGACCGTGCATGCAACGTCAGGGCTGTGTGTCTTCAGGGTGAACTAGGCTGCCCTCTCTGAGCCCTGTGCTGGGACTGTAGGCCCTGAGGTTACAACAGGAGAGGAGACAGAAGGGATGGCATTCAGGGCCCTGCCATGCGCCGTCGCCAGCCGTAACAACGGTGCTGACTCCTGCCTGCCTGCCTTCCCCCGGCCAGGCTTGGTACCTCAGCACAGAAGACCAAGTGGTTGGAGCTGTGCTTTTTGCTGGCCGCTGGGGGTCAGCTGTGCTGGGCGTCCCCAGGACTGGGGAAGGGCACCAGGCCGACCTATCTCTCAATAGCTTTGGACTCATTACTCCTCCCAAGAGGGCTTCCTTCTTGTGACAGTGTACGTGGACGTGGGCGTTCCTGCATCCCGGGGAGCTGGTTCAGCACTTCCTGTAAGGACTATGATGGAAATCGGCAGAATACAGTCTGCTCTGTCCATGAGGTGGAGACAGGACTGTTAGAGGCACACGCTTCAGTGCTGGATGTGTGCAGGTGTGAATGTACGTGCATGAGGGTGCAGCCATTTCTAAGGACCAGATGCCCTTTGCGCTCTGCCCATGACCAGTGCAGTGACAACTCCGAAGCTTCCTCTGACTTTCAGGCCCCAGTCCATGGGAGATCAGGTGTCCTCCAGACTGCCCCTCAGCCCATCCAGTAACCTTGCCAAGAATTAGCCTACCCTTCCTCCTGCATCGTGCCTGGAGGCTGCACTGTTTCAGGCTAGGTGACTTGGAGACCAGGGAAAGGCCAAAGTGCTGCCCGAGGGAGCCTGAAGTTGCAGCTCTTTGGGGGAAAGCAAGCAATAAGGAGAAGGTAGGGCCTTGTCTCGATTTGCTGGCGGTGTCAGTGGGGTTGAGTATGGACACAGCCCAGCACTCAGTGGTGATCTCTGTCTGCAAGCCCTCAGCCTGTTTCTCTCAACTTTTCCCAGACATGGGTCTGAAAGGGGGACGATGGGCGGGCAGGGTCTGCCCCCACTTTGGGGAGGCCCATGACCCATGATCCTGTGCATGGGGGCGTCTAAAGTAGGGTGGACTGGAGTCACCATGAATATTTTTCAGTGCTGTCTCTTTTTGATTTGGTATCTAAAATATTTGGTGTTAAACTGATTTCAGCTGTTTTCCTGTGCCCTTTTCATACAGAGGAATCCTGGTAGGATCAGATGTGAAATTTCCTGACTAGGCTTTTTTTTTTTTTTTTAAGGTTGACAAAATAGCTTCAGGGAGGAGGCAGACTTCAGAGAGCAGCAGGGCGACTTTGTCACTCTCCAGGATTAGAATTCAGGGCCCAAGTGTGCATAGCTGGAGCTGTTAATTCCAGTTTTGTTAGAAAAAGCCTTTTAGGGGATTGGGGGTGGGCTGGGGAAGAACTGTACATAAAGTACATTTTATTACCATAGGGAGAAACATAGGGAAAGAAAAGCTAGTGGCTAATCTGGGGCTTGCTTTGCTTGCATGTAATGGAGCTTTGGGGGCAGGGATTGTTGGGGAGCAGCAGGGAGGCAGAGGTAGGTAGGGGCCTGGGGGGTCCCTCAAGGAAGTGGGCATCCTTGATCAGCTCTTTCTTCTGCAAATTAAGGGAGGCTGGAGCTTGGAGCCCCCCAGGGCTGCACTGCTGCTCTGAGAAGAGTTGCTTTCAGCAACTGAGAGTTTGGTTGGGGTGTCCACCACCATCCCACTGACCGGCAGTGAGTCCACCTTGGTCCCGTACTTTACTTCTGGGGCTCTCATCAGTGCTTCCATGAGCAAATGGACTATTTTGCATGTTGGTTTCCTGAGAGGGTAGAAGTGTTTTCATGACCCATTCTAAGCTGGAAGAATACATAGGTTGAGCCTGATCCCTAGACAGTCCCATACCCTGGGGTGTCTGTGTAGGACGAGGAAGAGTGAAGCAGATGTGCAGACAGCCCTGCTGGCGCCCGTCCCTTCCAGATGAGCGGCGCATCTGGGCTGCTGAATCCTTGGTAGACAGCAGCCGTTAATGACATCACTGGGCCAGTCTTCCTTGGTGGGTCTGAAGCAGCCTGAGGAAACAGTGTTTGCTCTGGATCGCTGGTGGGGAGAGCTGGGCCAGGTGGTAGGGAGAAGTGCTGCAAGTTCTCAGCCCCTGGCCCTGGTCCATTGCCGTCTGTCTGTCCCAGCCCCCTTGATGGTGACACAAACAGCTGCTGGGCCTCTTGAATCTTGAAGAAATGTGTTCCACCAGTCCCACCAGTCTCTCTCTGGCACTGGATTCCCTGGCTTTATTTTAGGACCAGGCCATGCTCTCCCTTCTGCCCCAGATACACACCAGTTACCTCGTTTCCTTCCCACTCCACTTCTTCATGGCTCCAGGGATCCTGACCTCATGTGTGGTTTGCGACGGGGAGGTGGCTGGGTAGGGAAGGGAATCTGAGAGGGGAGAAGGGTTGGGCTCGTGGCGGGTGGTTTCCATTTTCCACCTGAGAAGCCCTGTGAGCGTGCTTCTGACGGTGTGTGGGGTTTCTGCCTGTGTAGAGGGAGGGGGCCGATGCCGACTCCTCGTGTTGGTGATGAGGGCTGAGAGACTTTTTGCCCGCTCTTGGCTTACAGCATCTAAGAGATCTTGTTTCTGGCATGGGGACAGATGTCCTTATAGCCATCTTGCAGTTCTTTGAAGGGAAACTGTCCATCACTCTCATCGGAAATTTCTATTACCTGCGGAGAACCTGAAGGGTCTGTCGTGAGCAGACAGTGTCCTGGCTGGGGCAGAGAGGTGGGGCTGTCTCACCTGGCCCACTGCAGTCACCAGACTAGCTCTGTGGCCTCCAGCCCCAGGCGGCTATCTTGTCCATGTTCCTTTCCTGGGCTCAGGAAGTAAGAGTGTCTGTGTGTGTGGTGTGTTCTGTATGTGTGGTGCCTATGTGTGTGGTATGTGGTGTGTATGTGTGAGGGTGGTGTGTGTGGTGCGTTTGTGGTGTGGGGTGTGTGTGTGGGGGATATGCATTTGAGTGTGCTGTGTGTGTGTACAGGATTCGTAGGGACATACTCATTTGCCTGAGTAGCCTCAGGCCTAGCAGGCCCTCTCTTTCATTGACTCTCTTCTTTGCGAGGCAACTCCTCATTTGGTAGGAGGGTGAAATTAGTAATATGCCATCTTTAGTGTATTTTTTATGGAGATTGTATATAAAATTATATAAATATATATGATTTGTTCTATTTTAAGGAGAGAGGGGAGCTTATGTAAGGGGGTGGGTGGGTGCAGGGACCGAATGCAATAGTCGTGGTTGGGAGCTGGGGCCTCTGGGGAGTGGGAGTTGGGAGGGCAGCGGACCACAGCCGGGGAGAGGAGCGGGGTTGTGCCTTCGGCACACACATATATATGAAG